GTGGCATAAAAGCGCGGGAGATTCAAATCTAATTTTGTCCGGATTTTGACCGCGGACCCTGTATATGAACACCAGAATAAAAATAAAACATAACGAACAAATATCCCAAGCCATAACAACAGGTCAAGGAATAAGACAAGGAGACACCCTCAGCCCAATACTCTTCAACTTGGTAACGAAACACACCCTAAACAATCTTTCGAACAAAAAATTATATTACTTTGGCTCTTATAACATAAACTCAACCTGTTATGCAGACGATACAGTCTTAATTGCAGAAATCGAAGATGATTTACAACACCTCCTGTTTCAATTCTACAAGACATGCCAGTCATTCAACATGAGGATATCCACACAGAAAACTAAATGCATTACAATTTCGAAACAGCCATTGAGATACAAACTAGCTATAAACGAATACCTAATAAACCAAGTGATGAAAATACAATATCAAGGCATAACAATAACTAGCGATGGCAGATCTATAAAAGAGGCTAAGGAACAAAGCATTAAAGCAAATAGAATAGCAGGTTGTCTCAACCACTCGATATGGCAAAATCAATATCTAAGAAAAGACACTAAAATTAGAATATATAAGGCAGTAATTAGGCCAGTATTGTCCTATGCAGCTGAAACGAGAGCAGACAAAAAAAATATGCCAAATGATGGAAGTATCGGAAATGCGGGTGCTGAGAAAAATTACAAATAAAACGATAAGGGATAAAGAACCTAATATTAATATAAGACAGGCTTGCCAAATAAATATAATCTTAGTCTGGGTTCGAGAAAGAAGAAAGAAATGGAACGAACATATAGACAGAATGGAAGAAGACAGACTGGTGAAAGTGACTAGAGATAGAAGACCGGAAGGAAGGAGAAGAGTAGGACTTCCAAGAACTAGGTGGAAAGACATTTTGTGAAACAAGACAGCATGAATATAGTGCCAATTTATAAATATGACTAAATAAATGTAACATATCAGTGTTTTTTAAATTTTAATTAAATATCCTTTGTAAAGAAACAGGCTCTAGCCTAAAATAATAATATTATTAAGAATATTAATAAGAATATGAAGAAGAAAAAAAAAGAAAAAAGAAGAACAAAAAAGAAGAAGAAAAAAGAAAAAAAGAAGAAAAAGAAAAAAGAAAAAAAGAAAAAAAGAAGAAAAAAAGAAGAAGAAAGAAGAAAAAAAGAAAGAAGAAAAAAAGAAAGAAGAAAAGTAAAAAAGAAGAAAAAAAGAAGAAGAAAAAAAGAAGAAAAAAAGAAGAAAAAGAGAAGAAGTAAAAAAGAAGAAGAAAAAGTGGATCTGTGTCATTTTTCCAGGACATGGACTACATTAATAAGCACTTTAGCCACGAAATAACTCAAAATTAATGTTTTCAGACTTTTCTTTCAGACATTCTCGCCCTCTCCCTGCTACTAGGGCGAGAAGAAAAGTGTGAAAGAATGAAAAGAAATCAAATTGATTAAAATAATATCCTTGCAGGTACTCATAAATGTAAAAATACTTCAGTTTACTGAAAAATAAAAGGTGCCTGATTTAATCCTTGTGTGATCTATTTTAAATACCAGAAACAACTTTTCATGTTTGCTGTTTATTAAATGCTCAGTTTAATAATTTTGTAACCAAGTTGCAAGCCTAAAATGGAATTTTTTGTGCCTAATACTCATTATTCCACAATGTTACCCATTTTAGGTGCCTGAAACATCACTTTTTTGTGCCTAAAACTCCGTGGTCTCAATGAAAGTTTAAGGAATTCATAAAGAACACACCCCATATATTCGAAAGGGTGGATGTAACTCCACATAAAATATTCAGGTAATTCTGCCAGTTCCTAGTAATTGGAAATAATTTTCGTCAATGCTGCGAGATGGCAGGGTATTAACATCCACAATCCTGAACTGAAATATCACAGTTTAGGTTCAGCAACTGTTTTGACAACAGAAACATACACTCAAAGTATAAACACTACGTTTGAAGAGTGACAATTGGTGATTGTTCATCATACCAAGGTCCGCATTGTAACGAATCAAGATAATCAAAGACTTTTGTGCATGTCCCACCTGCATAGAAATGATATGATGGATATCATAGTGGCAGACAAAACACCCAAAAATATTTAAAAATCAATACCTGGAATTGGAATGAATGTCTTACCAAACACAGTATGATATATGGTTAGGATGAAATTTTATGAACTGTGAGACGCTACTCAGCTAGAAGTAGAGACAACGTAATTTAATCATCGACAAGAAATGCATGTCTTGGAGAGGCAGGAATATTTGGAAAATATATGAATAATGTTTGACGACTTGTGCATGTGAGCAGGAAGACATACTGAAATACGAACACACCGTAAAGATTTTCTCTTTTCACCGTTTGTGTAAAGTTCTTCTCGTTTCTTTTCCTAACTATTGTAAACCTTAATATTGAAAATAAATGTTTTATTTTGAATAAAACCTTCTTTTTTTTCTTTTATTTAAGCAAATGTGCGATGGTGTAATGGTTAGCCTATTGGACTGGTATACCCAAGTTGGCAGGTATTGAAGCCGTGGATTTTTAAGGGCGACAAAATTCTTTGTAAGTCTTCTTTTGGAGGGGAAGTAAAGCCGGCTGTCCCGTGTTAGTAGATTTACTTGCATGTAAAATATCGTCAAGCCTAATTGACACTTCTGAGCTAAATTCAAAAATCGCCTGTTTCTCACCCAAGAAATAGCTCCTTCCTCTGCTAGTTGGTAAAAGGAGCGTAGCAAAATTTGTGTGGTCAGACGGAAGAGTGGACCTGATGGGCCGAGTCTCGCCACGTAAATTAAGGCTTCAATTCAATTCAAAGTTATCTTGTTCAATTTTGTGTATTTCATAAAATCATAACAATATTGCAGTTTGTGCAGTGGATGTATGGGCACCATTAAAATTATGCCAGACAGACAAATGCCTTATGATTCTCAGTATCCAGCAGAAAATTAATGTGTGAATGGCAAACATTCAAGGAATACATCCAAACGAGATTAGCCAATCATATGTCGATACACTGGTTGATCTCAGGGCAGATCTCTGAAACTGAAGGATTCATGGTTGCCATTCAAGAACAAGCAATTCCAACAGGCAATTACAGAAAATACATACTGAAAGACACAAGTGTGAAGGATGACCGCTGCCAATACAGTTGTGGACAAATTGAATGAATAGAGCACATTACATTAGGTTGCACACACTGCGAAAATAATGCACCAAGAATTGGTCTAAAGTACCAATTAAAATCAGAAGAACAAGTTCTCCATGCTGTATATAGGGTTTTGGAACACTTATCTGTTGTACTGGGCCAGAACGATTCCCACAAACAGAACAGAAATCTGTGTTCAACTTGATATTGTAATATTCAATAAACAAAGCAGGCAAGTTGATTTTATAGACATCTCGATCCTGAACACTTCCAATCTTCAGTTAAAACCCACAAAAGAAGACTAACTAAGTTGATTTCTCAGCATCTATCCTCCAACTGTGGAATGCTAGGAAACCGAGAATCACTCCTATTATAACATCAAGTACTGGAGCCATTCTGAAGATCATGCATCAAAGTCTAAAGGAATTAGATCTTCCTCAAAATATAACTAAGCTTATGCAGGTTACTATCATCGCAATGGCTAGAATTGTCAGGAAATTTGTGGGAAATAAACATAATAACATTCAAAATTATAACCACAATTTGTACTATAATTGTATTACTCTGTACAATTTATGAACTCATCATAGAGACATATGGTGTAATTAAATAATAATAATAATAATAACAATAATAATAATATAATAGCCGATCCGGTGGCCGAGATCGCTAAGGCAGTAGTGCCGTAGCGATCTCGTACCAAAAGATCGTGGGTTCGAGTCCCGCCTCGGGCATGGTTGTATTGTGTTCGTCCTTTCACCCCCTATCATCCATCATCCTCCATCTCTCATTATTACCTTTCTGAATAACATTCAGAATTGTAACTCAAGGATTTATCCTCACCTCAAGGTGACACCTTCGACAGTCGACCATGAACAGTAAAAAGTGAAGTGGAACGACTCAAGTGGTCCAATGTGGCCAATCAAGTTAATAATAATAATAATGATAATAATAATAATAATAATAATATAATAAAAAGTGCAAATAAACAATATTTTTCAGTAGATGCAATGATTCTTGAGCATGCAGGCAAGCAAACGTGTTATGATGCCAACAACTTGCAGATTCCCCATAAGACACACGTGTGTGAGATCAAGGGTGCAAAATATTTAGTGAGAGCACCTTCGCTAAGACTGAGAAGGGAAATAAAGGCGAGTTTTCTTTTCTCGATATACCAGTGGTCACACCTTCAATATGGCCACCAGTAGCTAAGGATGGATGTCAATGGCATTACTTTTAAACAGTGTGTAAATTTTATTTTGAATTTCAGCAAAAACTGTAGGACTGGAAAAAATCATGATAAAAAAAAAAAAAAAAAAAAAAATAAAATTAGATTTTATAAAATTTAAATAAGTGTTTTTCAAAATTGTAATCAATGCTTTTACTTTAAGTCAATATAGTTAAGTGATTTATTTATTCTTAATTACTTTAAAAGTAGGATTTTCAGTTTTATTTGTTTTTAGTTTCCTAGAATTTTAGCATTGGTATTTCCAAATAATTGAAACAAATATCAAAGTGTGGAACACGTTTATGTATGAACCAAGAAAGTAGTGACACCAAGCATGCGGGATTCTATTTAAAGTGTATTCAGATTAGGAATTTCAAAGAAAATGGATTTGCTAAAGGAGCACAGGAATTACTCTTCATGTTCATGTTAAAAATGGAAACTGACACATATAGTGCACATGCACAATAGCCCTGCCCATAGCAGAAATACAAAAGTAAATATTTTCTTCTACTTACTTGAGGGTTCGGCGAAATTGTGTCTGCTTTGAGTAGATTCTATTTCTTCAACCCTTTCATTTGCATCATCTACTGGAAGATAACGATCATCCATTGGTTCTTCACTCTCTTCATTTACAGGAATAAAAACAACAGGTGGCAATGATTCCTCTTGCTCAACAAAATGTCTAGCAGATGATACTTCATTCCCCAATTGGAGATGCTGCTGCTGCGGATGTAGCATCTCTGACGATTGCATGTTTGCAATAGAGGACTCTCGGCAACCTTCAAACAAAACAAAACACCATGATTATTAGAGAACATTGTGTTTCTGACAGGTAAACTAAATAGTAATTTGTTCCGTAAGTGAAGTGCATTTTATGGACGGAAGTTTGCAGCTTTCTACCCTTCTGGAGTGTTAAATCCACCACTGACATACACGCCAGCTTAAAGGGATTTCGCCCCACCAGAATCTCCCTCAGTGAAGAATCACCCCAGCCATGTCCAGCCCCTAAGCTCCCAATCCTCCTTTAACATGTGTGAATGTGAGCTGGCATACATAAAAAGAGAGAATGGGACAAGGATAAGCAAGGGAAAACAGTGCATGGTTGTGTCTGAACCGTAAATTGACAAGTACAACACATGGACAATAGCACCCATAGTGGCAGAAATACAAATGTAAATAAATTCTTCTATTCACTTGAGGATTGGAGGAAATTGTGACCACCACGTGTAGGCTCTGCTCCTTGAACCCTTTCATTTGCATCATGTACTCGAACATAGCTAGGTTCTTCACAGTCTTCATTTATAGGAATAAAAGCCACAGGTGGTAATGATTCCTCATTTTCATCAAAATCTTTGTCAGGCATCACTTCATTTCTCAACCGCCGACGCTGCTGCGGAGGCAGCATCTCCGTTGATTGTACATTTTCAAAAGAGGACTTATGGCCATCTTCAAACAAAACAAAACAGATTATTAGAGTGAGTATTTAGTGTATCTGGTGGATTAACTACTTTGGTCATTTGTTCCATAACTGTAGTGCATATTACAGGCGGAAGGTGGCAACTTCCCCCCTGCAGGTACGCGAGATCCATCACTGACCTACAGGTCACCAGGGAGTTCTTAAACTCCCCACTCGTTTTTCATCATATGTGGTAGGAAAGTGCAAGTATATGCGCTTGCATATTGTTGCACTGAAAATATCTACTGTTAATGAGTTGACATGGTGTTGTGTAAAATGGTGTTTTGTAGGGTTGTTAATGACAGATGAACGGTGGAAAAAGAATGTAAGAAGTGATGTGAAATGTATCACTATACAATCATGAATAAATAAGTTGTTTTAATTGTGAATATTGGATTAATTTCTAATGAACAAATATTGACACAGAGCAGCAATCAACGCTTCAAACAAAAATAAGTATTAGATTTTTTTGATAACATCACATATGTAAGGAGAGAGGAGAGGACAAGAACGAGCAAGGGAAGAAGGTGCATGATTCTTGGTTAGTTTGTTAGGGTACACACAAAGAAACAACCTACAACTACTAATGAGAGCAGATGGCTACTAGAACGCCCCTCCAGACAGTGGCTGGATACCACCCAGCTAAATAGCTACTGGCAAAAAACTACAACCATCCCAGAATCTTCCAATCAGAGCCTGTAGCGGCAATGGTTGCAGTCACGCAGTCTCAGATGGTTCAGACTTATTTGAAAACAATTATCCTCCTGACATTTTTCCCAAGTTAAACTCCCTGTTTCAGAAGGTGAACTATGGATTTAGATGCCATTTACATTTAATATACACATTACATTCTTTCAATTCTAATTATGGATTGTTTTTCATTAAATTTAACATAACTTTAAAAAACTTTTAAATTGGACATAATTTTATATTATTTTTGAAACGGTTTGTAGCTGCTTTAATGCACAATACACTGAGCCTACTGACATCACACAATAGATGAGTGTGAGATAGTTATCACTACTTAAATGGTAGTTAAAGAAAGAAATAACCATTTATTTTTAACATTTCTATATAATTAGTTTTTATATTATGATAATATTCTTCTGTAATGGCTAATTGAACAAACTCGGAATAAAGTCCAGATAACATTTATTATAGAGAAAAACCTTCTTGTATGAGGATGGAATAGCTCTTATCCATGACACAAGCTGAAGATAAAATATTCCACAATTTTTGCAGAAATATTTGAGGAATAACCTCAAAGCACAAATACAAGCAAATATGAGACGTCCTTAGCATGTAAGTTTTTGTTAAGTGATAATGAATTCGTTTCTAAGGTAATTGTGATCATGAAAATGAAAAAGTTTCATCCCAGGCCAGATATACTTCACGTAAATGATACAATGATATTTATAGATTATATATGCAAGTGCTCTTTGATAGTGAATGATCTTGCATTGTTTCCTGAAATAATTGGATACATTTTCCCTCAGTAAAGTTGGGTGAATAATTGCATGCATTTTTGCTCGAATTCCTCTTGGAAGTCCTGCAAGAGAGTGAATATTTTTTCTACAATATTATTTTTTTTACAGAGATATACATTTCTAACTGCATATTTTTTTATGTAAAGGAACCTGTTCGATGAGATATGATATTCGATTGATATGACTGATTTGTTCTGGAGATATTGGAGTATTCAGAAATTATTATTAATCAATAATTATTATTAAATTATAATTCATATAATCGAACACCAAATCAGTAAATAATTGAAAATTGAGAGTATACACTTTTTTAATAATCTCACTGAGCAAAGTTCTAAATAATTGGACTACATAACAATACTATCAATCATAGGTATTATAATGTTCACAAAAGGACTACATATTGCACAATATAAAATGTCCAAAATTGAGACTTCCAATGCACAACACACCAGGACATACAGGCGTGTTTACAAGAAATCATGGTGATTCAAAATGGGAAGAAATATGTAAGAAGTGTGAGGCATAGTAAAGGTACAAACTTTCTCTTTCACAAACCCTTTTCATGATAGAAGACAAAATCTATCCATACAATAGATTTATTGTACAACTAAGCTGTTTAGTCTCATAATAAGCAAAACTAGAGATAACTGTGTATTCTGGGAGTTATCCTACATGCACAACTGGCCCAAAGAATTCATTATAATTTGTGATGATTATTGTATACTTTTGTACACATCTACATTTTTGTCATAAATGATTGAAAGAAATTTTCGAGACTGGGAAAAGGGGGGGGGGTGTGAAAGAAATACTCGCGAGTGGGAGAAAAAGGGGGGGGGGAATTTAATGACAGAGCATGCATAATCTTGAAAGAATTAGTAATACTTGAGAATTACGCTGGTTGGGGGAACATTGTCCTTCGGACTTGTCTAATATTTTCTTTTTGTTTGGGTGCAAAATAAATTAAGTCAATGAGCTTCTGTGATCAGGACAAGCAAAAATGTTTCTTGCAGTTTTTTAGTCAAAAACACAAAAGAGAAACCATAACCATTTTTAACTGTAAAAGACTGTACAAACACTAATCTATCATGCACCCTATCTTCAGTTGCCTTGATTAACTACAGATAATTCAGCCTTTGCAAATATTTATTTTGCTAAAATTCAAAATGGAATAAGAGGCAGAACTAATGTTTAAAGGTGCAGTTTAGTTGTATAAGTTTATTACTTCGAAATACTTGTCATAGATTAAGAGTAAGCTTGCCACTCACTTCCTTCTGACAAATGAACATAAAATCAAGTTACTTTCATTATTTGTACTTCAAATAACAATTAGAAGCACAAACTGTTAGGTAACATGAACATGAACCTTTGATTAAAACACTAATTCCATTAACACTATGATCAGCTTGGATGACAGTGTCTCAGCTAAAAGTCAAAAGATTTTATGTTTTAATCTAAGTATATTGGCCAGCAACATTTAAAATGGAGGTATGTGCTCATTTCTCAATGTAAAATCTCTTTGGCTATAATAAGAAAAAAGGGGAAATCAAATGATATGAACTTCACAGTAGTTCAGAGTGAACCCAATATCAGAAATATCATAAATATAGGGCAGCTCAGATTTGAACTTTATTCCAATATCAACTTCATTCTGCAATAAATTCATGGTGCTCTTACTCAAAGAACAGCTTATTTACCTCATTTGTGATGCAGATACGTTAATTGAACAAATAAAACGCTTAAAATAACCTTGTGAAACATCAACTTTCTGTCAACCAAATCAGTTATTTTGAAAAGGTCACATCTTATGAGCAGTTTCGGCACCACAATTGTGAGAAAACCTCTGGGGAGATGAGATCTATTCAAAGCAATCCCGGAACCACACCTACTTGGATAACATTAATAAGCATAAAAACTGTATATAAGCATAAAAACTCATATGTAACAAAACTTGAAGCATATTCTAAATAAAATGGCAAGTTTCACTACTCATACTACATATGACTCACTATTGCCCACTGAATTCCTCACAAAATTCCCTTATCTACACCTAGTCCCATCTAATTCTCCACAATCTGACTGTTTAAATGGCTTCCATAAGTTGTACTATTATCGCTATTTCAACCATTTTTACCTGTCGTCTCTCAATTCCTCTTTCTGACTTTTTTAAGATCTCAAAATATAATTCATTTAATTCAGAGAGAAGACCATAAGAAATAAATAAATAAGCATGTGATTAGTCATTTAGTTGGTGGTGTAGAATGTGGCATTGTCATAAACTAGAAACTATGTTGTATTACAGCTAGTGTTTCTAAAAATCATGATAATTTTTCATTTAAATTTTTTTTTTTTCACCCTTACATAAATATCATTTTTTCATTTAAATCCATACCATGTGTTGAAAGCCATGGATTAATTGAATCAATCCAGTTAACCATTCAGAGTAAGCAGCTAGTGTATTATTGAAATCTGTACAGTATTCCTACAATACAGGTTTCAAGAATACACTAGCTCCTGCAGTTATTTTTAAAAAAAGGTAATGCAGAGCTTGGATTTCACATTTAATGCATTTTTCTCATTTAGTGCTATAGCGTGAATGCTGTGTTTTGCACCTACGAAGTCATGTCATGAGAAACAAGTTTTTAAAAACTATTCTAAAGAAAGGCTTGGTACACTCAAAATGTACAATAAATACGAGTGAGACGTATGCAAGAAAAGATTTCCTGTTTATAGCTCAGGGACTTAAAAAACAAAGCATTACTTAGTCCCAGCCATAATATGTATATTAACATGCTGTAGCTTTACTTAAGGCACCATTGCAAAGTAATCTCCCTCTATGCCTGGTGAATCTTTAAAAACAGTATTTACTCTAAATCCAGGTTTAAATTTCATTTATACAGAGCAGATTTTTATGCTGTAAAAATAGAGACTTCTTTAAAAAAAGGATGAAGATTTGCAGCCAAATCATCTGTGCTATTTGAAGAATGCAAGCATCTTTCCACATCCAAGTTAGCTAATTTTTATGGATGTAGGAAGATGCTTTACGATGTCACGACCCTGTTGGCTTTCTGCTGGCCTGTTGCCTGGCTTTTACATTTGACAATATGTGTATGGTATTTGTAACATACTGCACTGCAGTACTGAAATTGTACGATAACGTCAAGTGAAATTGGAAGAGAACGTTATACATTTGCATATATGCACGAACATGACACGGAATGTGACGGATACATTGACATTACGCTATTGTGTTTTTTTCCTCTTTATAGATGAAATATTTGTGCAAATGCAGAATTTTTCTTAATATCATATTTATGTTCATTTTTTAAACCTGACAAGAAGAAATGGAATACGACATACCACAATGTACTTCACAAACCCTTTCAGACCAGTGAGTCCAGTGGAACAAACACAATTTTTGTTGTTTTTTCTGACACTTTATTTCATCAGAATAGTTGATCACTGAATGATTGTCATGATTTTATTGTTTCTTGCAAAGTTACATAGAGTTGTATGTGAATAGAAATCATCTTCAGAGTAAAACCAAATCATTGTTGAAATGAAAAAAGTTTAAAACGAACAGAAAGTGCCAAGTATGAAAGAACCAAGGTGAATATTTATTTGCATTGTTTCTTCCAAAAAGTAAGGTAGTTTATATCACGTTGGCGTAAAAATCTCTCTTTTCATTCCCAGCATGCTTGTTCATTATTTTATCAATAAAGATTTTTAGAAGAAATATAAATCTTGTTAATTTGTTCATATTAAACTGCATATTTTGAAATGTTGAAGTAATTAATGCACACTTTTAAAAGCATATTTAAATATATTTTAGGGCAAAAAATCCTCTCTATAGTGATTTAAATCAAACTATTTACATCATCAGAACCTTGGAAACAGATATGACACGATATGACATTAACCTTCATAATGAAACTAATATCACATGTTTCTGACAGTTTTGGCTCACACAAGGTATTTTATCATGTCTCTAAAGTTAGCAGGATCCTATTAGCAGAAACAAAAATCACTATATGCGAAATTAAAGGCTAGTTATAAGCAAATTAAGTGCCATAATTGCGAATTTAAGACTGCAATATTTTTTAAAATAACAAGGGTTCTGCGAACTACAGAAAAATATAGCATGACCCATTTTCAAAACACTCAATCAAAATTATTAAACAATCATCAGGGAAATAAAGGCTACTTAAGGACTCTTAATTTAGATCATTTTAACATACAAAAGTCAATATGGAAATTAATAATTTATAACGTCACAAAATCATACGCTGATTAAGAATCACTACCAAAAATATCATAAGAAAGACAAACCACGCATTGCTTTCTCACGAACGTACATGAAATTATATGAACAAATGTAGGGATGGCTTCCAATATATACGTGTGCACGAGTTGCACTAAGCAAATTCGAGAAAATAGTGCAAGCTTGAGTTGTATTGATTGCAAAAACTGGTTCCACAAGAAGTGCACTGATTTAAATGAAGAAAAATTCAAAAAGATTGTCGCAGAATATAAAAAAGACAGGTCGTACTATTGGCAATGCTCTAGATGTAAGTCCAATATTAGCTTAGTTGAATCTGATGATGAGAATGAAGAAGATTTCGACCTATCATTGCAGCCTACCAACAACCTACTACTTGGATAAAATGGAACAAATGTTCGAAAAATACCTGACTCCCTTCAGAGAGAAAATGAATAGAATTGAGAGCAACGTTACAAATATTAAGCCAGAACTGAACAAATATATTGAACAAAACAAAATCCTTGCTCAAAATTACAAGCAATTAGAAGAAAGGGTTCAAATAGCTGTAAATAAACAAACGTCAATTAGTGAATCTCCTAATAACGCCGATGACATAATAGCTGAAATAAATGAGCGTAGAAAACGTGAAACCGAAGCCATTGTTTACAATGTTATGGAATCCAAAAAACCGGTGGGAGCTAAACGACGACAAGATGATTATGAAAAAATATCAACCCTTATTCCTCAGGAGATAGCAGAAACGGCGCCAAATTTTAAACTTCGTCGGCTAGGTCGACATTCAGAAGGAAAAACTCGTCCGTTGTTAATTAAAACTCAATCCGTAACTGAAGCTAGAACCTTGCTGAAGATCAAACCCACCAACGAAATGAATGCTGTATTCAATTCAAACCTCACTCCAGCTCAAAGAAGTCATCTCAATGCACTACGTTCTGAACTGGACAACATAAACAAAAATACAAATGAGGACAAAACCATTAAATATGTAAATGGGATACCAAGAATAGTAAATAAAGAAATTTTTCGTACGCCAAAAGAGAAGCCAAAAGAAAAATGAATTACTAATCTATTATCAGAACAGAGACCTGAGGACTAAACTGAGAAATTTCTTAACTTCTACTGTAAATTATCCCTGTGATATCATATGTGTTAGCGAGTCGTGGCTACATTCATCTATTTCCGATGGAGAAATTATAAATGATACCTACATAATGTACAGAAAAGTCAGAGATCAAACGACAAGTGATTGTGAATGTGGAGGTGGAGTCTTCATAGCTGTTAAACGTAATATATCAACAGAACTTTTAGTTATTGATGACAGGTATACACGAAAATTATATGTTTTGGAAATGATATTATAATTGGATGTATATATATTCCACCCATGACAGCGATAGACATATATAATAAGCATCTAGATACGATATCGATTTTGAAGAGAAGATACCCGAACTGTGAGCTATTAATCATGGGTGATTACAATCTCCCCAGTAGTTCCCCTGGTTCAGATTGTGAAAAAATGTTATATAGTGAGATGCTCCTGAATAACTGTCAACAGTTTAAAGAAAATTATAACCTAAATGATAAAATTCTTGATTTATGTTTCAGCAGTGTACACATAAAAGTGAGAAAAACAGATGCCATCATTGATGAAGATAAACACCACCCAGCGTTAAGTATACGAGTTGATACCCAAGCTAGTCTTGAAATAAACAAAGCACCAACGTACAATTTCAATAAGGCAAATTACAAAGAACTGAACACCTTTTTACGCAGTAACTGGCTTGATCTCTACGAGTTACAATCAGTAGATGATAAGGTTAATTTATTCTATGATAAAATTAATGAAGGGATTGCTCGATTTGTGCCAATATATACTGATAATTCTAAAAATTATCCTTGTTTTGTTTTCTAAAGATTTGATCTACAATATAAAACAAAAAAAGAAAGCACATATGAATTATAAAAGATTCAGAACAAATGTCACATATAATCAGTTTCGAAAATTAAGAGCAGAATGTAAAAAAATGAGTGAAAAATGTTACAATGATTATATATCAAAAACTGAGGAGAAGATGAAAATGGATGCCAGTTATTTTGGGAAATATATTAAAAACAAGAGGCGAAGTGATCTTAACATTCCATTAACTATGTCCTGGAACTCAGAGACGGCAAGAAGTGGAAACAAAATGACTAATTTATTCGCATCGTATTATGAAAGCATTTATGAAGACAATTCGAATGATTTCACAACAATAAATGAAGAATTCTTAGTCAACCAGGATGTCAACCTCACGGAGCTGAGTGTCCGCTTTGATGATGTTTTTGATCAATTATGTAAGTTGGACATTAAAAAAGGTGCTGGACACGATGGAATACCGAAGCAGCTTTTGAGAAATTGTGCTGCTGGACATTCCGAACCGTTATCCCATATCTTCAGCAAATCAGTAGAATTTGGCATCTTCCTAAACGCTTGAAAATTCTCCTACATTAGCCCTATTCATAAATCAGGATCCAAATCAACAGTAACTAATTATGGACCTATATGCATTCAATCTTCAATACCCAAACTATTCGAAAAAATTATTTTGCCTCAAATAACCTTTCCTTTCGAAAACATTATTTCTACAAAACAACACGGTTTTATCAACGGCAGATCTACCACAACAAATCTTCATTTATATTCGTTATTATTCAACTACGTACTGGACCAGATGAATCAAGGTAAAGATGTACATGCGGTATATACGGATTTCAGCAAAGCCTTCGATGTGGTAAACTACGAAATATTATGTAATAAACTTAATTGATATGGAGTAAGGGGCAAAGCACTGGACTGGTTTCATTCATATCTGACAGGAAGATTTCTCCAAGTACGGGTAAATGGCCACACATCAACTGAATATAGAGCAACCTCAGGCATCCCACAAGGATCACATCTCGGACTGATGCTGTTCAATATTTTCATCAACGATATTGGCGATAAATTCCGATCAGATTATTTACTTTAAGCAGATGATTTGAAAATATTTAGAAAAATTACTGACTATGATGATATGCGCATTCTTCAGCAAGATATTGAGGAACTTAGCAGTTGGTGTTTGAAGAATAGGCTAAAACTGAACGTTGATAAATGTGTGGTGATGTCTGTTTCTCACTCTCCTCAACGACAACCTGCAGCTTATTATCCAACTCGAGGAAGTTGAATCCGTAAAGGACTTGGGCGTCATTATCGACAATAAATTGAAGTTCTCGAATCATGTGGACAACATGAAATCCAAAGCATACAAGATGCTGGGATTTATACTCAGATCTGGAAGGGAATTTAACAATGTCTATACGTTAATATACCTATATTTTACTTTGTTCCGTCCAATAATGGAATATTGCTCAACAATCTGGTCACCATACACCGACATTCTTGAGGATCGAATCTAAAATATTCAAAAGAAGTTCTGTAAATACATCAAGTACTATATGGGCATCAGACGTCATGACATGAGCACCGATGAAGTCTATGATCAATTTAAAATACACTCACTTTCCAAGCGGAGACAAATTGCAGATCCTATATATTTTTTTAAGATCATTAATTGCGAAATTGAATGCCAAGAAATATTAGAACAATTTGAATTTGTCTATTTCAAAACCGTTTGGCTTGAGATCGTTATAGATTACTGAATTCAATTAAGACTTACTAAAAAATTATGTATATTATGGTCCGAAAAATAGAATAGCGAACCTAGTAAATGATATTGTTCAGCATAAACTTCTTTGGGGGATCCACATCATCATTCTCGATACAGATAAAGAAATTATACACAAGATAATGTGTTATGTTTAAAATATTTATTACGAAAGATTGTAACAACAACGATATGATGTGATACTACGGTTTATAATCTCATTTAATTATTAATTTAATTATATGCATCGAATTGGTTGTATTTTAGAATTGTATTAGTTATTATGTGATTGTGCAGTGATAGATATATAAATTGTTACCTATATGTACAAAGCCGATTGGCGCGAATAAGTAAATAAATAAAATAAAAAAATAAATATATTTTCTAAAGTTACAAAAAGCATTATTAGAAAACTGAAGGCTAATTATCTGGACTAATGTACAGCTCTATTTGCGAATTTAATGCAATGCAATTAGTTTTTCAATCCATGGGTCCTGCTACCTATAAAAAACGATGACAGGACCCATTTTGAACTCATTAAAAAAGGTAATCAGAATTATAAAATAATCATCCGGGAATTAAAGGCTTTAAATTGAATGTAAAATAACCCACAAATATTTCTTTCAATTCTAGTATGCTATGAATAGCCTTTAATTTCAACAGACAAAATTTTATTGTTTCAGGGCTGCGTATTCAGATATTGAATCCCTGGGTCCTTCTTCTACACTAAAAGGTGTACATAACTTTCAGACGGTGGGGTACAATCTACCAGGACCCATGCTACTTTGTTGAATAAATATTATTAGATTTTGTTATAAAGTAATATTGGGACTTTATTATCATGAACTTATAAGAAGCATTAGTTGTTTTATTGTGGCAAAGAAATTTGGTATTCCTAAGATTATTTTCATTGAATATTGTATATTCTTAATTTCATTATTGTTTTTTATGCTTAGGTGAACTAATTTAAGAACCTTCAATTTTCTGATCATTGTTTTACAATTCTGATTGTTTTATTAAAATTGGGTGCTACTATCTTTATCCGTAGCCAGCACAACCCATGCTGCCATTAAAAAAAAAAAAAAAAAAAAAGGAGAAAGCAAGCAAGCAAAGCCTTAAATTCACAAATAGGGCACTTAATTTGCCTTTAATTTTGAATATAGTGATTTCTGTTTCTGCTGAAAAGGTCCAGCTACCTTAAGAGATGTTACTTTATCACAATTAAGCTCAATATCTAGACTTGTAATGATTCTCAGCTGATTTACTACAGCATTCGAGCCATTCAATTCAATTTGTTACACAATTTGACAATACTGTGCAAGTGTTGAACTTCTGATTCGCTGTTGCCTAGGTTATGACACTGGCATTACCACATTCTAAATTTTATTCAAAGTAGATATTTGTTTGCATAAAAAAAAATTGAAAAATTGTAAATACTACAATTATTATATTACATACTTGAGTGCTGATTTAAATCCTGTGCACCAAATATAGGAGTTCTTTGGTCCATTTCACTTGTAAGATTTCCAGCCACATGTTCACCACTATTAACTATTGAATGCCACGCATTGTTGCTTGTCTCTGAAATAACAGCATGCAAAGGTTCACCCTTCACAACAACATCTACATCACATCCCCCAGGTCTTTGATATTTTTGTGAACACCTCTCTTCTTCACGTGAGGCACTGTATCCTTCAAAGGGAAGAGAAGAGTTTACATTCATAACATCTTGATAACTACCTGAACAGTGGGGATGCAACTGAGAAGAATTTTCAGGGTTGTCCTCACTGATAGCACTAACGCATGGAACTTGAGCAATGTCTTCATTATTCTCTGATGGATTCCCAGGGTAATTTTCGATAGTATTGCTGGATACATTACCATTTGTCTGATAGAAGCAAAACACAATATCTAAGTTTTTAATATGAGAAATAAAAAAAATAAGGATGTATTACTGCATTACTTACAAAATTCTTAGAATGATTATTTAGACCCTTGATCTCAAGGGTTTGAGCAAGAGTTAGAAATGCTTTCAAGCTCCCTTGTGGAATTTGAGTCTCCCCTCGGTACATAAAATCTATCACTGCCTTCAGTGTTTCAAATGTTGCATCTAAGAGGATGAGAAACGTATGCTTTCCAGTCTCCCCAAGAAACAACCTCTAAGCAAAAGAAAGAAACAAGACAGAAATGCAATGTATTGAAAACTAAAACAGAGAGGGTTTTATTTTTTTTATAAATAATCATAAAATACATGTCTATTATAAAAAACCTCATAAGAAGAAACCTCTACTGTTATTTTATAGAGTAACATTTTTTTTTAAATTTGTTATAAAATAATAATTAACATACCTGAAAATAAGGGCTGCATGCACATAAAACCAGCTTATGAGCTTTTAGGCTCTGACCCCCAGCAGATATGGTGCAATCCACCAAGAAATTGTTTTCCAATAAACTTGTGTAGACTGTAGCTAGTTCACTGGTGTGGCCTTCCCATAACAGAGACAAGACTGATTCCCCCATCTCCAAATAGCCCTACAACCATTCAAAAACTACATTTTAGCATACTGATTAAAAAAGAGACATGGAAATCTCTCTTCACAACAGTTGATGCTGCAACTATTACATCATGATCAAGATTATCCTGCTGCATTCACTATCATGCGCCCACAATGCAGGGCCTGAATTACAAGGCGAAAGACACCATGTAATTATAATCAATTGTTTACTCACTTCCAGTGTCACAGTCACAAGACGATGGCATTCGGCTACAGACTTTTAAAAAAATCCAAATATATACCCTCGCGAAACCGTTAGAGAAAACATCTACGTTATATTCATCCGTTCAATAAATGTAAAGGTAACATAATCATCCAAGAGAACAACTTATGTGTATAAAAATGAATGACATCGAATAACAGGGAGCTACGACAGAATATTCAATATATAGTTGGCATCGTTATTTTAATGTTTCGTTTCATATTCATGCCATTGTTAACGGCAAAACGAAACCCTTGAAATAAATTCTCATTGAAGGAGTAGTGATAACAGGGAAGTCTTGAACTACATACACTGAACACAAATATTTTCATTGGCACCCAAAACATGCACGCGATTCACATGCACCGGCTTACATACCTAATGATTTACTCTCAATTTGAGTCAAGTTAAGATACCTCAATTTTCCTTCTTCTGTCAAGCTTTGACTAACAAGAACAACCACGTGCGGGAAAACTGGGATGCCTTCGATTTCACCAGGGCCTTATTATAACTCCCATATAACGTGGTGGATACCATTACGGTAGCGCGCTCTGCAGCATCACCTTCTTTACAGGAACTAAAACAGAAACTGCTGCCAACGATACTTTAAACGTGCGTGACTGCTGAGTGAGTTCGCGGGTCGCAAGCAGGCCCATAATGTTACAAAAGATAACGTCTACGTTCGCGCTTTCTTCAGAGGTTTCTTATAAGTATATATAATGAATAATTGTACATTTGGAAGACACTTTTCGTATTTCTCACAAATTAGCCAATTTGTAAGTGGGAAAGTTGGCGATCCTAACCTACAGCTGCAGCCAGCGACACTAGCGCTTCCTATAGTAGCAACCTCGAGCTTTGTCCCCGATTTTGATGGAGAGTTGCCGGGCCCTGGATTTCACAAAGCTCCGCAGAGCTCACTGGAGTGATGATGGCATCCGGAGGGGCGCCCGGGGGCGCCAACTGTTGATTGAACCGGTAGTGCGATTACTTTTCAGACTGGTTCATTGAATCACGGTTGAATCGTTGAAATCGTTCACCAGTTGTCGCGGTGTCTGCGCTGTGATTGGTGGAACGCAGCTATCTAGGCGGCTCTTTCAAAATCCCGAGAATATTAATAATGAGGATGTTAATCAATAATGTAATTAACATTTTATAAAACAGAATTTTTAGTACACCTTGAAAGGAACAAACATAATATGCCTTTATGAATCGTTTAAATCATCAATAATATCATGTTTGAAGTCAAACAGCCGATTTAATCCGAAGTTCCCATCCAAATGGATAAATAATAAATGCATGGAAGATGTATTATTACTCATGGAATATTTACGAAGTAAGTTGTTACTTTTACATAACTGCATTTATTTGTGCTTTGTAAATGGTAAATGTACATTAAATAACAGAACCATAATTTATAGTTGAATTCTTCAATATACAACACTTTAAGGAAGTTGCACGAATGATTCTTGAGGGCTGAGTTTCTCTCTCATGATTCGTGAGTCATGAAGCCGATTCACTACTCACTAGCGCCACCATGGAGCAGACGTAACATGGAAGAACTACATGGACCGATTC